GGCATATTATAGTTTAATGTCTACAATACTGTCCAAAATAACTTATCAGTGTATACTTAATCAATATTTTAATATTTTATATAGAATTAAGGAATTTACAACACTAAGACTCCATTTCCCTTCTCTCCTTTTCTTGTGCTATTGTTTTAAAATCGTTTATTTTTACAGGTGTAATCACTTGTACAAATAAACTATTTTAAAGTACAATTTAGGGGCGCCTGGGTCGCTCAGTCAGTTAAGCGTCCGACGTCAGCTCAGGTCATGATCTCACCGTTCGTTGAGTTCAAGCCCTGTGTCAGGCTCAGAGCTAGCTCAGAGCCTGGAGCCTGTTTCGGATTCTGTGTCTCCCTCTCTCTCTGCTCCTCTCCTGCTCGTGCTGTCTCTTTCTCTCTCAGAAATAAATTAAAACATTAAAAAAAATTTAATACAATTTATGTTTAATTTTTATTTAAATTCCAGTTAATACATATTGTTATTTTTAATATAAACAGTCTCTTTTTAAATGAATTAAGAGAAGAAGCAATGGTTTTAAATATTTACCTAGGGGCGACTGGGTGGCTCAGTCACTTAAGCATCTAAATCTTGATTTTGGCTCACTTCATGATCTCCCAGTCATGAGACTGAGCCCCAGGGGCAGAGACAGAGACAGAGAGAGAATCTAAAGCAAACTCCACACACAGTGGAGCGCCTGGGACGCTGGGGCGCCTGGGTGGCTCAGTCAGTTAAGCATCCATCTTAGGCTCAGGTCATGATCTCACTGTCTTGTGGATTCCAGCCTCGCGTCAGGCTCTGTGCTGACAGCTCAGAGCCTGGAGCCTGCTTTGAATTCTGTGTCTCCCTCCATCTCTCTCTCTCTCTCTCTCTCTCTCTCTCTCAAAAGTAAATAAACATTGAAACAATTTTTTTTTATTTTTTAATTTTTTTTTCTTTTATTTATATCTAGGATAGAGAGAAACAGCGTGAGCAGGGGAGGGTCAGAGAGAGAGGGAGTCACAGACTGAAACAGGCTCCAGGCTCTGAGCTGGCAATCAGCACAGAGCCCGACGGGGGGCTCGAACCCACGAACTGCGAGATCATGACCTAAGCGAAAGTCGGACGCTTAACCGACTAAGCCACCCAGGCGCCCCTGAAACAATTTTTAAAAAGACTCTCTCTCTGCCTCTCCCCCACTATCTCAAATATGTATATATATACACAAACATACACACACACATTTTTACCCTTCAAAGCATCACTTCTCCACTTCTCATGATTTTCATTTCATCCTACAGTCCTAGAGCACTAGAGCATTTTCTCTCAGCCCAAACTTTTCCATTAGTTGTTTTTCCATTCTTTTTTCCTCTATTTTCCTTTTTTTTTTTTTTTTTTTTTTGGTACAGCAGTCTCTGAAAACAAATTTTCTCAACAAAATTTATCTTTTATTTATGTGTAACTATAAGTATTTTGCCTTTATTTTTGGAGTCTTTTTAACTGGCCATACACACCTGATTTGGAGTGTTTGCTTTTTAAATTAATGTCAGAGATGTCTTATCTCTGGCCTCCATTGTTTTTTATGTACATTTGTTTTGATAGTATGCTTGATTATTTTTGAAATGTATTTTTATTGAATGTGGAAATCTAGATTCAAAAGTGTAGTAACAAACTACCAAAAATATAGTGAGTTAAAACAATACAAATTTATTATCTTACAGTTTTCTAAGTCCGAAGTCTGAAATAGATCACACAGGGCTAAAGTTAAAGGGTTGGGAAAACTGTGCTCTCTTCTGCAACCCTGGAAAAGAAACTGTTTCCTTCAACTTTCTAGTCTCTAAAGCCCACCTGCATTACTTGATTCTAAAGCCCACCTGCATTATTCCATGTTCAAAGCCAGCAATGGCAGATGGATTTCTTCTCATAGCTCTTCTTTCAATCTGACTTTCTCTTCCACCTCCTTTGCCCCCTTCTAAAGACTTTACCATTACATAAGGCCCACCTGAGTAATCCAAGGTATATCTCCCTATTTTAAGGTGAGTTGATTACCAATCTTAATTCTATTGTTACCTCCATTCCTTTGCCATAGAACCTAACTTTCAGGTTATGGAGATTAGGACATAGATATAATTGGGGATCATTATTTTACCTACTACAATATGTAATTTATCTGTGGTCTACTGTTGTTTAATTGCATCAGTCTGAGTAAAGCACAGAAAACTTACCCCCATATGCCTGTGCTTTCTCCCCTTTATAGTAAAAGTACACTAAATATTCTTTCTGTACACATTTGGTTTGCATGGTCTCTTTTTCCTAGACCAAATAAAGTCCTAACTAAAAGTACATGCATGCAAGCATACATACATACATAGAGAAATAAATAAGAAATTTCATCAGCATTGTTTAAACAGATATCAAGGTTGCTTTCCAAAATACTTACCCACTGAGGCTAGGCTATATTAAGTGCCAGAGAACAGGAATGGGAAGGACAAGAAAGGAGAGTGGCAAAGCTATAATTAAAGGATACAAAGTAATTGACAATCTGGACAAAGGAAGACATTAAAAACACTCCTTTAGCAGGGCAGATTCTATTTAGATCCTAAAATTTGGTAAGCCTAAAAGGTAGTCCTCAGCATTTGTAAGTGATCAAAGATATGAAAACATCTTATTTTTCTTACACTCATAGTCCCTCTTTTTTTGGAGCCAGAAGCTAGTGGAGTGCTCAGCCCAAAAGACTTTGCTAAATTTGCTAAATATACCAGATATGACCTTTCATTTAAAAGAATCTAATATAATGAGTGAATTTAATCAAATACTGTTTTTTTTCTTTCTTTCTTCTTCAAAATATATACCTGGTCATTTTTCACACTTAACTGCATATTAAGGTGTAAAATGTGTAAATTAACAATATCACCCTTTTTCATAGAACATGTCAGAATAGTAAATAGCCACCTAATGTAATCGAAAGTGCACAGAATTAGTGGTTGGAAAACCAAGATTCTATCTTGGAAAACATTTTGTACAAAAAATAGCAGAAACATTTTTTTTTCTTTTCTTTTTTTTAGGAGAGAGAGCATGAGCTGGGGAGGAGGGCAGATCAGGGAGGGAGAGAGAGAGAGAGAACCCTATCAGCGCAGATCCCAACATGGGACTCAACCCCATAACCCTGGGATCATGATCTGAGCTGAAATCAAAAGTTAGATGTTCAACCAACAGCCACCCAGGCACCCCTGAAACATTTTTTAAAATATTTTATTTCTTTCTTTTTTTTTTAATGTTTTATTTATTTCTAGGAGAGAGAGAGACAGCGCGAGCAGGGGAGGGTCAGAGAGGGAGTCACAGACTGAAACAGGGTCCAGGCTCTGAGCTGGCAATCAGCACAGAGCCCGACGCGGGGCTCGAACCCACAAACCGCGAGATCATGACCTAAGCGAAAGTCGGACGCTTAACCGACTAAGCCACCCAGGCGCCCCTAAAATATTTTATTTATTTCTGAGAGAGAGAGAGAGAGACAGCGTGAGCAGGGGAGGGTCAGAGAGAGAGGGAGACACAAAATCCGAAGCAGGCTCCAGTCTCTGAGCTGTCAGCACAGAGCCCGAACCCATGAACCGTGAGATCATGATCTGAACCAAAGTCGGACGCTTAACCGACTGAGCCACCCAGGCGCCCCCCCTGAAACATTTCTAAAAAGTAAGGTCATATTGCTGAATTTCCACACCTTTGTCATTAAAATTCCCAGGGATAATCTTGCTTAGGTCAGTAATTATTGCTACCTAAAACAAAATAAAGAATGCAATTTTTTATTTACAATGAGAAATTACTTGCTCAAGTCCAAAATATTCTGTCTGAATGGTCAGTGTCTTTTCCACATTTAGTTAAATGTATTTAGGTAAATTATAGTCAGTAAGTTTCTTGTTAAGCATGGAAAGAGAGCAAGATGAATGGGATCTACATTGACATTGTGCTGAGATGACCCAACATCCCTTCGCAATCTGGACAGTCTTGTCATTCAAGGTGAAGCACTGCCTTAAAATATAGTTAAGTCCTATGAATTTACTCCCTCATGAAGTTTGACCTTATTATGAAAATAATAACAGTCCTGTGACTAGGATTCCCCCAAACATACATATTATTTATTTTGATGTTTAGCCATTCCAAGTCCCCTGGCTAAGAATCCCTTAATAACCAGTTCTAATTGATGCATGTTTTATGATATCACAATTCAACAATTCAAATGTGTTCTCTATGTCACTAACATATTCATCTATGTTCTAATAGTGGGATACTCTCTTTGATAGTAGAGAATTTACCATATATTTTAAGACTGACATACCTTTATATGTTCTTGCTATGGTCATTTTTTAATGTAATCATGTGCCATTTAAAATAATTCTCAACAACTAAGAAAATACTTTCTTGGAATTTTGCTTAGCAGTTCATTAAGTTTACATATTTAGAGAGTAATTGAATTTGTTAAGAAATTAAGTCTTTTGATTCACAAACATGTATTCATCTAAATATCATTTTATGCCCTTCAATACAGTAAATTGATAGACTCTATGTTTTTTTTAAATAAATATTTTGTTTATTTTAGTGAAGCTGGTACAGACAATGTCCATTTAAAACCCATATCCCAGGCCAAAAAGTACAATTAAAATCAAAAAGAGCAGTGTTCTGTTGAATACACTTCTGCATGAATAACTTTATTAACTGCTAATGAAAATCAGAACTTTCTGGGATCTTCTGACAAGACTTTTCTTTTATCTTGAAATGTTTTCTCTTCAGTGAAGCCATCTTTGGAGTTAGTCATTACTCTCATGATCTCTGTATCTCGACTCCAGCCTGATATTTCTCTTCTTTTGGCCCAGACCCTCAAATTTTAAAAGAAGTTTCAAGTTAAGGAAAAGTCATTTTTACACAGTTCAGTTCTCTGAAAAACTTCCATCTCCCACTGAAAGTCATAGTCCAGGAGTGAAGCAATCACATACCAGAACTTCAGGCCAATTGGAAAGTCATTATGAACACTCACATTGGTCGATCTTATTTATCACAAGCCTGAAAATGCACGGTCCTGGAAAAGGTGGTGGCCTCTCTGTGCACACATATAATTTTTAAAAAGGAGAGGGCAATATGAAGGGGGCTGAGGTTTGATCACCAAAAATCAGCACAATGAATACAAATGATAATGAATAATGGGCACTAGAATTCAAATTACCAGTTGTTTTAAAGAGATGGGGTGCCAGTTTTCATTTCCGTTTTGAACACATTACAAAAGAACTATTTTTAAAAATAAAAAAGGATTGAGGGTAAAGAAAAAAAAAAAGAATATCTGAATCGTTGAATGACCCCCTGTTTGTTCCTGATAAACTTCAATCACATCTTCTTCCTCCATTCCCAGTTCTTTTGGAGTGTGATTATCAGCAATTCTCTGACCTTCAAAGAGAAATCTGAGTGAATTCATTGGAACTCCCTCTCTTTGACAGTATGAATCTTTGAGTTTCTTGAGATGCGTTGTCATTTTCACTTTGAAGTGAATCTCACTGCTGTCCTGTCCAATGACTTTGAGTTTAATGTATTCTCCTTCCTTCTTATTCCCTAAGTCCTCAGTTGAAGATTTTGCCTCCTGGTCGGACATGGTGATGGTGGCTTCACCCAGGGTCTCCGCACAGTAGCGGCCTTGGGTAGGCAGAACCTCGTTCCAGGGTTTACAAATCCATCTCTAGACTCTATGGTTTTTAAATTATTTCTATTTTATAGACTTACATAGATTATTTGTATTATTAGTATTTATGTTACTTTTAAGTTATGGATTTAGATTTATTGAAGGTCTCTCTGAAAGTCTCAGTGTCTTTTGTGGTCAATTACCATATTTCCTATCTTCCAGTTTTACATTTAAATATAGATAGATAATAGATAGATATGTGTGTATATGTATGTAAGAATGTATGGATAGACGGATGGATAGATAGATAGAGGTATTTATTATATATATGTGTGTGTGTGCATTTATTTAAGGCTCATTTTGTTGTTGGTGTGGTTGTTGTTGCTGTTAGTGCTCTCTTTATAGACTCTGGTTCTAGGAACAGGTTGCCTGCGGCTGGCCAGTTGGCACCAACATGCTGACGGGGAGGGGCTATTAAAGGCTCATATTTAAATAATATTCTGCATATTGTTTTGTCCATTTGATATCTCTTGGACAGAGATAGGTGTTCTATTATGAATATTGTTCTAACCAGGTCCCTTCATGACCCAGTATTCCAAATACATACCAGTGACATTCTTGTGACTTTATGCCTGAAGCCTTTATTCCTTTATGAGAGACTTATATCAAATGAGTAGGCCTCAGGGTGATGCCACCTGAGAATTGGAGTAAAAGTGCCCCAGGTACCCTACCGTTGTCATGGCCTAACTTTAAGTTGTGTTCTACAGTTTTCCAGTGTTCTCAATAGGGATATACTTTAGTTGCCCACAATTAGCACTGATTACATATCCTTTATTGGCTTCCTTACTTTTCCTATACCACATTTACACTATCTGTGGGATCACCTCCCAACTACATGGCCTCAAGTTATTGTCAAAGAGTGTGTTTCTTGTTTAACCCAACCTGAGACAGTTTCTCTCCCTTTCCATGCCCTGCCTATAGTTTCCACTCTACAAAAGTTGCCTTTGTGTTAGATCCTCATTATGAATTTAAGCCTGTAGTAATGTAAATTGTTACTCATTGCTTCCTTAACTGCTTTTTAGCATTTTTTGACATTTATTTATTATTGAGAAAGAGAGACAGAGCATGAAGAGGGTGGGACAGAGAGAAGGGGAGACACAGAATCCGAAACAGGCTTCAGTGTCTGTGCTGTCAGCACAGAACCCGACACAGGGCTCGAACCCAACAAACTGCTAGATCATGACCTGAGCTGAAGTCGGACGGTCAACCAACTGATCCACCCAGGCGCCCCCCTAACTGCTTTTTTTTTAACCCAAATCTTGTCAGTCTTCTAGATTCTAATTTATGTGCCTTTCTTCTTACTTGTTTCTGTCTAGTATAACCAGGACTACTGTTGTGGCTGTTGTTTTTAATTTTCTGAATCTCTTTGTGTTTTATGGGTCAAATATATGTTGCACTACCAGATTTTGTTTTGTTAGCCAATCTGAAAATTATCTTCTTTGTTTTGATAGATTAAGCCAAAGCTTTTGGCACAATAAATAAATTTAGTTTTATCAAATAGTTTTATGTTCTATCCTTATGCAATATTATCTGTTTTAATTTGTCTTTCTCATTTTTGGTTTATCCTTATGTAGTTAAGAAAATTTTTTCTCTCTCTCCCTCTCTTTAATAATCTTACTAAATCTTCAAAGCATTTAAACATCACATACCATACTGTCTCATATACACACACTCACACACACACACACACACACACACACACACAATGCTTGTTAATGCTGGTTCTAAATACATATATATTCTATGCTAACCACCAAAGACTCTTCAGTAACTTTGATTATTGAAAACCCATTCCCTGGTAGATTCCATGGGAACAGTATTCCTTGAATTCTTGCATGTTTATAATAGTTAGCCTGTGTCTTTAATATTGCAAGTTGTTTTGTCTGAATATAAAATACTTAGCCCACATTATCTTTTCTTGATTATCCTACATATATTAGTCCTTTGTCTTACAGCATAAAATATTGTTACCAGAAAGCCTGACATCAATATTTTAGTCTGAAATCAATATTTGTTTCTCTTAAAAGCAACTTGATCTTTTGTTGCTACATGCCCAAAAGACTTCTTTTTTCCATCTCCTTTAATGTTTATTTTTTTGAGAGTAAGAGACAGAGAAAGAGTGTGAGCGGGGTAAGGGCAGAGATGAGAGAGAGAGAGAGACCAAGGATCCAAAGTGGGTTCTGTGCTGACAGCAGTGAGCCCAGTGTGAGACTCAAACTCACAAACCAAGAGATCATCACCTGAGCCAAAGTCAGACACTCAACCTATGGAGCCACCCAAGTTCCCCTCCATCTCCTTTGAGGTCCAAAAGCTTTACTACAATGTCTCAATGTTGGCCATCTGGGACAATTTTCCTAGGAAGATGCAGGTTCAAGTTTTAATTTATCTCAGGAATTTTTCTAGAAATAATAAAAAGGTCCAAATCCTTATTTATTCCTAGGAGAGTAACCAGGAAAAATGGATAATTGAGTATTCAAGAATATGACAGTGAAAGAGAAGGCAGACTCATTCTTTGACCAAGTAAGTTTTAGGTAAACAAGCTCAACTCATTTCTTTTATTTTTTTCTACAAGACATTTTCTCCCTGGTTTTGTCTGCCACTCAAGCACTTCCTAAACTCCACTCCAACTATCACAAAATCAAGTTGAGTCTCACAAAGCCACATTTTTTCTCACTTATTAACATGTCTCTCATTTGCATTTTATTTTATTGTATTTTGGTTGGCTTACTATAGTGCTATAATGTCCATTAAGTGATGCTTGTGAAATCTGGACTCTCCTCCACTCAGTCAAACTAGCTCAGTGTGTAGCTCATCCTTCGATTGTGGTTGGCAGAACCTAAATATTTTGCACCTTTCTTCTTCTTATATGATCTGCAACACGATATATTTTATTTTTTTAAATTTGTCTTCCTATATGTCTTTTAAGGGAGATCATTACTTTTTTGTTAAATTTTTTTAAGTCGATTTAATTTGAGAGAGACAGAGATAACATGAGTGGGGGAGGGGCAGAGAGGGGGAGAGAGAGAATCCCAATCAGGCTCCACGCTGTCAGTACAGTGCCCCATGTGGTGCTCGAACTCACAAACCATGACATCATGACCCATGCTGGAACCAAGGGTCAGACACTTAGCTGACTGAGGTACTCAGGTGCCCCTCATTTATTTTAAAAACTATTCTCATATTGGTATAAAGCTTCTATTTTTAGTATTTTAATATACAAAAGATTTCCAAACACACATACCCATATGAGTAAATGATAAAATCTCTAAACAAAACATATAATGTATTTATAAACTCTATTCTTTTTTTCTCATAATACAACTCAATACATTACAATGTGTGTGTGTCTATATATATATATATGTGTGTGTATACATATGTATACATATGTATACATATACATATATATACTTGAGAAAATCATTCCATTTCTCTGAGCCTCTGCTTCCTCATATATAAAATGAGGGATTTGGGGGAAGCTGAATGGTTCAGTTGGTTAAACATCTGACTGCAGCTCAGGTCATGATGTCACGGTTTGTAAGCTTGAGCCCCAGGTAGGACTCTATGCTGATGGCCTCAAAACCTAGGGCCTGCTTCAGATTCTGTGTCTCCCTCTCTTTTTCTGTCCCTTTCCTATTCGTGCTCTTTCTATCTCTCAAAAATAATAAATAAATAAACATTTTTAATTAATTAGTTAATTAATTAAAATGAGAGATTTGTAATGTATTCACAAAGTGGTTTGAGACTCTCCTCCTCCCTCCCACAATGCAGTGGGAACTATAAGGAATGAAGCCCCAGAAATTCCAAGGCTTGCCATCCTTAACCAACCAACTCTTGACTTCTTCCTTTTTTGTAATGAGATTCTGCAGAGGATTTCACTTAAATCAATTTTCTGAGATAAAAAAGTGTGAAAATCACAGCAGTAAATAATTATAAAAATGATTTCTAGATCTTAAAAATAAAAAAGAAGGTAAAAGGACAGGAGGGAGGAAAAAATTATCATGCTTCCTTGGTTTTACAAATCAATCTTCAATGAAAACAAATATTTTCTTCAGTATTATACATGAAGTCATTAATGACCAATGATAATAATTATTTTCCTAAGGATTATCTATGACGTCACTAATCTGGATAAAGAGAAGTTGCTAATGAACAGTTTAATCCATGTAACTCTCACCATATGAGAGAAAGTATAAAGTACTGATAAGCAGCTCTTTTGCACCTGTGCAATCACACTTTTTTTATGCTGGATTTTTTTCTGATTGGTTAAGTACTCATGATTTGTTAAATATTTTGCTTATCATTCTTGAAACTCAGACATGGCTAATGGTGGGGAGGGGTTATCACTGTAAGACATCTTATTATGGTGAAGAATAAACTGAGTGTGTCATTGTTTACAATTGAACATTTCTTTTTTTTTATGTTTATCTATTTTTGAGAGAGAGAGACAGAGTGTGAGCAGGAGAGGGGCACAGAGAGAGGGAGATACAGAATCCAAAGCAGGCTCCAGACTCTAAGCTGTCAGCACAGACCCCAATGTGGGGCTCGAACTCAAGAACCACAAGATCATGACTTGAGCTGAAGTTGGACACTTAAGCAACTGAGCCACCCAAGTGCCCCTATAACTGAACATTTCTGATAGTAGTTGCCTCTAGTTGGTGATTTATATACCTAAATTTCAGTATGTAGCCTTTAGTCATGATATTAACTCATCCACTGCATAAAGATTAAAAATATAGAAAGGACAGAGAACCTGGCTGACTCAGTTCGTAGAACATGTGACTCTTGATCTAGCGTTGTGAGTTCATGTCCCACACTGGGGGTTCATATTACTGAAAAATTAAATCTTTAAAAATATGGAAAGAATGAATATAAAATTCTTAAGAGCATATTAGCTCTGTTTTAATTTTTATTATCATAGATAAATGTTGTTAGACAATGAAGGAAAATCTGTACATTTCC